CTGACACCTACGTGGTTCTTACCCAAACGCAGCCTCACACCCTGAAGGGTGATCCGAAGGCCCCGCAGGCATCAACATACCTGTTAGTGACAGATGGACGAACACCCGAGGCAGGCATTTGGGAACACGCCAAGAGAGCGCACCCAGGGCCCTAATGCACACATGCCACCTGAAGGTGTCCGCACGCACAGGCATACGGCCAGACGCACGCCTAGGGGGCGCTCGCAGGGCCCACGCAAGCGCGCGCACGCGCGCACGCCCCCCTCCGCCTGGCCTCCCTTCCGCCCCCGTCCCCGCCCCCGCGAGGCCCTGTCGCGCGCGGCGCCCTTCCAGGCCTGAGCTGGGCGGGGCGGCGAGGCCCGGGGCGGGAAACCCGCTGGGCAGCCGGCATGGAGGCGCTGCTGCTGGGCACGGGACTGCTGCTGGGAGCCTACGTGCTCATCTATTACAACCTGGTGAAGGCCCCGCCGTGCGGTGTCCTCGGCAGCCTGCGGGGCCGCACGGCCGTGGTCACGGGTGAGTGCAAGCGTGGGCAGGCGGCGGCCGGGAGGCCGGGCGGCGGGCCGCGTCCCTGCGCGCTCACCCGTCTCACCTGCAGGTGCCAACAGCGGCATCGGGAAGATGACGGCCCTGGAACTGGCGCGCCGCGGAGCGCGCGTGGTGCTGGCTTGCCGCAGCCGGGAGCGCGGGGAGGCGGCCGCCTTCGACCTCCGCCAGGTGAGGGAATGCGGGCACGGGTGGGACCACCAGTCAAGGACACATCGGGACACGGGGACCAGCCAAGCCGCGCGGGAACGCCGGTTCCTGGGAGAGCCGCGCGGTTCGTTAAGCTCCCGGAAGAGAGTGCACTGAGTGCTCTGGTCACACAGGGAAGGAGCACCAGGGATCCTGAAGGAAGGCATTGCTAATCCGAGATGTGTAAGGATCAGCCGGAGTTAAGTTAATGAAGAGCAACAAGGGAAGAGAGCAGCAGAGAGGACAGCATGTGCGAAGGCCAGGAGGATAGTCTGATTTGACACGCAGGGAGAGATTTAATGAGACTGAAATACAAGTTAGGAAGATGAGCGCCAGACTGAAGGTTCTGGAGGTCCTTATAGAGCCCAACGACGAGTTTGAACAGTAGAGCTCAGGGAAGGGTCCTTAACAGGACATGAATTGTCAGAATAGACTGGGGTCAGGCAGAGGGCAAGAGGAGACCAATGAAAAGTCTGTTATACTAGGTCATGGTGGCCCACATCTGTTCTCCCAGCACTAGGGAGGCTGAAGCAGGAGGATTGTTAAGTTCAAAACCTGCTTGGGCCATATAGTGAGTTGGAGGCATTGTCTTTTTGGTTTTGTTGGTTTGATTTGGTTTGGTTTTTTGTTGGTCATGGGGCTTGAACTCTGGGCTTGGGAGCTGTCCCTCAGCTCTTCAGCTCAAGGCTAGAACTCTACCATTTGAGCCACAGCACCACTTCCGGCCTTTTCTGTTTATGTGGTGCTGAGGAATCAAACCCAGGGCCTCATGCATACAAGGCAAGCACTCTATCACTGAGCTACCTTCCCAGGTCCGGCATTGTCTTTAAAAAGAAAAGTCTGAGCCAGGCACTGGTAACTAATACTAGCTATTCAGGAGACTGAGAGCTGAGGATTATGGTTCAAAGCCAGCCTGAGCACCAATTAACTACCAGAAAACCAGAAATGGAGCTGTTGCTCAAAGTGGTAAAGCACTAGCCTTGCACAAAAAGAGCTCAGGAACAGCACCCAAGCCCAGAGTTCAAGTCCCATGACTGACAAAAAAAAAAAAGTCTGTTATAGATTTTAGGGTAATAACACACACCCAGTACAGAATGCAAACTGATCATGATATTTTACATTTAATACAGCAACAGTTAAAATAGGTATTGCTATATTATTCTCCTTTTTTCACTGCCAATCCTGGGGCTTGCACTGTCCCTAAGCTTCTTTTGCTCAAGGCTAGCACTCTACCACTTCAGCCACAGCACCACTTCTGGCTTTTTCTGTATATGTGGTACTGAGGGATCAAACCCAGGGCTTCATACATGGTAGGCAAGCACTCTACCACTGAGCTACATTCCCATTCTATTATTCTCTTATACAGTGAGAGAACGGAGGTCCAGAGTGACTAAGGATCTTGCCCAAGGTCACATGATAATAAAAGGCAGTCTATACAATTATTCGTTACATCCTAATGCATGGTGCAAAACTTAGTAATGACAGCAGAAGGTTCCAAGGGAGAGGGAATAGGAGGAAGGTTCTTGGTGACAATCCCAGCCCTTGCTGATCCACAGGAGAGTGGGAACAATGAGGTCATCTTCATGGCCTTGGACTTGGCCAGTCTGACCTCGGTGCGGGCCTTTGCCACTGCCTTCCTGAGCTCTGAGCCACGGCTGGACATCCTCATCCACAATGCCGGTGAGGGGTAAAAGGCCTTGCAGGGTGGGTGGTGGGTGGCCAGGGGCAGTCACCACCTCCAGCTGGGACCTGCTAGGGATCAGTAGACACTTGGGAAGGATACCCCCTAATGCTGTCTCACAAAGGGGGATGCTGGGGCCTGGGGGCTCCTTCTCACACCTTGCCTCTGCTCCAGGAATCAGTTCCTGTGGCCGGACCCGTGAAACCTTTAACCTGCTACTTCGTGTAAACCACATCGGTCCCTTCCTGCTGACACACCTGCTGCTACCCCACCTGAAGATGTGTGCCCCCAGCCGAGTGGTGGTAGTGTCCTCAGCTGCCCACAGACGTGGACACTTGGACTTTACACGCCTGGATCAACCAGTAGTAGGCTGGCAGCAGGAGCTGAGGGCATATGCTGACAGTAAGCTAGCCAATGTACTGTTTACCAGAGAGCTTGCCACCCAGCTTGAGGGAACTGGTGTGACCTGCTATGCTGCCCATCCAGGTGAGGTGTGGCTCTGGAGCTGTCCTGATCCTCTTCTATTCTTTTTTTTTTTTTTTTTTTGGTCGTGGGGCTTGAACTCTGAGATTGGGGACTGTCCCTGAGCTCTTCAGCTCAAAGCAAGCACTCAACCACTTGAGCCACAGTGCCACTTCCAGTTTTCTGATGGTTAATTGGAGATAAGAGTCTCATAGACTTTCCTGCCTGGGCTGGCTTTGAACCAGGATCCTCATGTCTCAGCCTCTTGAGTAGCTAGGATTACAAGCGTGAGACACTAACGCTCAGCTCTTGTGATATTTGAGGGTCCACCTTAAGCATTTTAGCTTTTACTTAAGTGAGATAATTGGTGAGTAGAATCATTCTTGCCTTTAAAGGGCAAAAGATTTATACAATGTCATTAGAAACCAGAGTTTTCATACTTGCCTTTAGAGAATAGACTACCCCAGGAGAATAAGATCTACTTTGCCTATATTACTGTACTATGCTTTAGAAAATCACTACCTAAGGCCATTAGCAATTATAGTAATAATAATAACCCAACTAATTTTTATTAAGTTTTTATTACAACTCCAGATCCCTAATGCCAAAAACAGTAGCTTGTACACAGAGGTACTTAATATACACTGCTAAGAAAGGAATGAGGCTCCAGCTAAAAGAAAAGATGGAGAGAGATTTAAGAGGCTGGAGAGACAGTGTGACCAAAATCTGAGAGAATAAGTAATTTCGGGGGAAGAGAGGAGGCTTCTATTGGGAAGTGAGTGAAGTCACCTGTGGGGGCAGAGTTCTTGGTAGATATCGCCCTAGCTTCCTTAGAGCTAGATTCTGTCCAGTTCTAGCTCTATTCCTGCTGCTTATATCTGGTGCCTTCACCCATCTTCCTCCCCATGTTTCTGACCATAGGGCCTGTGAATTCAGAGCTGTTCCTGCGTCATGTTCCTGGATGGTTGCGCCCCCTTTTGCGCCCACTGGCTTGGCTAGTGCTCCGGACACCCAGAGGGGGTGCGCAGACACCCCTGTACTGCGCTCTTCAGGATGGCATTGAGCCCTTCAGTGGCAGATACTTTGCCAATTGCCATGTGGAGGAGGTGTCTCCAGCTGCCCGAGATGACCGGGCAGCCCACCGGCTATGGGAGGCCAGCAAGAGGCTGGCAGGCCTTGGGCCTGGGGAGGATGATGACCCCAATGAAGAGCCCCAGCCTGAGGATTCAGCGGCCCCATCTTCTCTGAGCACCACCCAACCTGAGGAGCTTACAGTTTCTGAACTTTACCCTGGTGCTCAGAGTTTACCAGACTTGTCTAAGTTGACACGCCGAATTCAGGTTAAAGCTGAGTCTGAGCCCTAAAGCTCCTAACTCCCAGGCTTAGATGCTTTCTGTAGCACTTTATGACCCCTAAAAACCTTAGTTGTGTGCTAGGCCATGCCCCTGGTACCCAGGGGTTGCCATTTTTACCTCTGTGATTACTTTGTGAGGTCTCTTGGTATGTCTCAGGCAGCTCTTTTACTGGTGAGAGAAATAATGCATAACAACTCCTTCTTAAGAGAGACAGTAACCTCAAAAGTTAGGGTAAAGGGTAACACACCAGACACTGTACTGCTCAGGAATTTGAATTTCAGATTTCCAGGCCACACCTGGGTTGACTGTGATAAAAGCTCTGGAGCAGGGCCAGGGAATTTGATTCAAAGCAGTGACCTGAGCCCTTTGCAACCATCCAGCCAGGTAGTTATATTACCCCCATTCCTCAGAGACAGCATTCAGCCCTGGAGGGAAGGACTCAGCCCCCGGTTCAGCTGGTAAGAAGAGCAGAGGACTGAGATTTGAACCTAGGGGGTCTGATGCTAGGGCCCGCCCAATGTAAAGTGGGTGCTGGGAAGTAAGGCGGCTCAGGGCTGTTGTTTCCGAGGATGCTGGAGGTGGGGGGTGCCTTCCAGGGTGTTGGAGGGCTGGGACCCCCAGCAATAAAGCGCGTTGACTGCCAAGGCTCGGCCTCTCTCTACTTGCCGGCCCCGCCTTCCGCCGCCGCACTTCCGGCGGGGCTGCGACCACGGAGGGGCGCGCGCGGGCTAGCGGGCGGCCGCTGGGGGTGGCGGGATAGACTGGGCGCGGCTGGCGCTGCGGTCGGACCCGCCGCTGCTGCTGTTGCTGCTGCTGTCCAGTCCGTGCGGCCCGAGGGCCTGCGTCCCGCCAGCGACATGGGCAATTGCCACACGGTGGGCCCCAACGAGGCGCTGGTGGTTTCAGGTGAGGAGATCGGGGGCGCGCGCTGGGCTGCACACCCCTTGGAGAAGAGAATCCCCCCCCCCCCAGGCGCACCGTGCTCCGGAGCTCCCCCTCCCCACTGCGGCCTCGCGTGTTGGTTCCTTGCTTTCCCCGCCTCCTCCCTAGGCAGGGCCTCCTCCGTCCGCTCCACGGTGGGCTTGCGGGTGACCTGGGGGGGGGGGAAGGGGTGGGCCGCGTAGCTCTGGAGGGCAGGTGCGGGTATGGGGAGCGTCCGGGAGCCCCCGCCCAAATCCTCCAGGGCCTTTTTCCAGCCCTATGAGACCCGTTAATTCCGAGCGGGCTGGGGCTTGCTGGGGTTTACTGGCATTCCCCGCCCTGGAGATTGCGGGTGCGGCCTCTACAGGTTGGGAAACCCCAACCCCGGGTTGCAAAAGGCTGCTAGTTCTAGAATTTCTATCAAGGTGAGGCTTGGAAAAGTGCAGCCTGGAGGATGGGGTGCGAACCTCGCTTTAAGGTTGCAGCTGTTGGCATTGGATATGTGCAATGTTTTAGCAGGTAGCTGAAGCCATTTTCTTTTTTTTTATTTTGTCGGTCGTGGGGCTTGAACTCTGGGCCTGGGCGCTGTCCCTCAGCTCTTCAGCTCAAGGCGAGCGCTCTACCACTTGAGCTATAGTGCCACTTCCGGTTTTCTGGTGGTTTATTGGAGATAGGAGTCTCACGGTCTTTCCTGCCGGAGCTGGCTTTGAACCGCGATCCTCAGATCTCAGCCTCCTGAGTAGCTAGGATTACAGGCGTGAGCCACCAGCACCCAGCTTGCTGAAGCCATTTAAACCACCAGGTTGCTCTGGCTGGGCTGAGGGCCTGTTGCATGACAGCTTAGCTTGCAGCAGTCGGCTGCAGTAGGGCTGGCTAGCTAGCTACCTAGGAGAGGGGAGGACTTCAGCTAGGGCTTGTAGCTGCCCACCCTTGGATTGTGTGAAAAATCCATTGGGAACTTTCACCTTCTCACTACCCAACAAACATGAGTTTACGCTTAGTTTGGATCTCTAAATCAGTATCACCACTAAACTAGACCTAACCGGGACTCTGCTTCTGTAGAGACAGATAGCTCCACCTCCTTGAAAACCAAAGATTGCCTTGAGGTCAGGAGGGAGAGCCCAGAGGCCAACTTCCTTCTTGCTAACACTTGGGCTTAGCTTCCAGTGCTCACCTGTGGAACTGACATTTTTGTTGTGAGGCTTGAACTCAGGGCCTGGGAGCTGTCCCTGGGCTCTTTGGCTCAAGGCTAGTGTTCTCCACTTCCAGTTTTCAGGGGATAAATTAGAGATGAGTTTTCTCCTATACTTTCCTGCCCAAGCTGGCTTTGAACCATCATCTTCAGATCCCAACCTCTTGAATAGCTAGGATTATAGGTGTGAGGCACCAGTGCCTCACACAGCTTTAGAGAAGATATTTATTTGTTTGTTTGTTTATTTCACCAGTACTGGGACTTGAACTCAAGGCATGGGCACAGTCCCTCAGCTTCTTTTGCTTAAGGCTAACACTTGAGCCACAGTACCACTTCCAGCTTTTTTTGTTATGTGGTACTGAGGAATTGAACCCAGGGCCTCATGCCTGTGAGGCAAGCACTCTACCACTAAGCCACATTGCCTGCTCATAAAGAAGACCCCCCCTTTTTTTTTAATAAGTCTTTTTTATTGTGAAAATACCGTACAGAGGTCATAGAGACTTTTAAAAGCCAGAATCTACATTGAATTTTGTTTTCCTATTACTTCTCTTTATTTTTTCCTAGTTTTGTTTGGTTTGGGGGACATATCAATGTTGGTCCTGGGACTTGAACTCAGGATCTAGGTGCTGTCCGTGAGCTTTTTGTTTAAAGCTACAACTCTACCACTTGATAGCTCCACTTCCAGTTTTTTTGGTGGTTAATTTAAGATAAGAATTTCATGAGGCTGGGAATGTGGCTTAGTGGTAGAGTGCTTGCTTAGCATGCATAAAGCCCTGGGTTGGATTCCTCAATACCACATAAACAGAAAAAGCCAGAAGTTGTGCTGTGGCTCAAGTGGTAGAATGCTAGCTTTAAGCAAAAGAAGCTTAGGGACAGTGCCCAGGCCCTGAGTTAAGCAGCAGGACTGGCCAAAAAAAAAAAAAAATCTCATGAACTTTTCCTGCTCTGCCTGGCTTTGACCTCAGTCCTCAGATCTTAGCCTCCTAAATAGCTAGGATTACAAGTGTGAGCTCAAAAAGCTGGGCGCTGGTGGCTCACGCCTGTAATCCTAGCTACTCAGGAGGCTGAGATCTGAGGATCGCAGTTCAAAGCCAGCCCGGGCAGGAGAGACTGTGAGACTCCTATCTCCAATAAACCACCAGAAAACCAGAAGTGGCACTGTAGCTCAAGTGGTAGAGCGCTCGCCTTGAGCTAAAGAGCTGAGGGACAGCGCCCAGGCCCAGAGTTCAAGCCCCACGACCAACAAAATAAACAAAAACAAAAGAACAAGTGTGAGCTCAGCATGTTTTTGTTATTGTTGTTCTTTTTTTTCCTATGTGAGTCCTGGGGCTTGAACTGGGGGCTTAGGTGCTATCCCAAATAGTTTTTTTGTTTGTTTGTTTATTTTGATTTATTGTTTTGTTTTGTTTTGCTTTGCCTAAGGTTAACACTACCACTTCAGCCACAGCTCCACTTCCAGCTCTTTGGTGATTAATCAGAGATAAAAACTCAGGGACTTGCCGGGCGCTGGTGGCTCAAGCCTGTAATCCTAGCTACTCAGGAGGCTGAGATCTGAGGACCGTGGTTCAAAGCCAGCCCGAGCAGGAGAGACCGTGAGACTCCTATCTCCAATAACCACCAGAAAAACCAGAAGTGGCGCTATAGCTCAAGTGGTAGAGCGCTCGCCTTGAGCTGAAGAGCTGAGGGACAGCACCCAGGCCCAGAGTTCAAGCCCCACGGCCGACCAAAAA